TAGCCTAGAAACTAAATATAGGTGCCTTTTATGAAAATTTCTGCTAAATCCTACAGATGTGGCTGTCCTATTGCTGGGGATTTATTGTGTGTGCTAAGAAGCTTGCCCTAAATCACACAGCTGTGATATGGCTCCCTCACCTGTTCAGCCACCATTAACAAGTCTTCTCTAAATATCCCTGCCTAGAAGTGATCACTCCTTCCTGTGAACCTTCAGAGCCCTTGATCTGTCTGTACCTCTTTCTGCCCTCACCACATTACCTTGCATGATCATTATTTATGTGAATGTCTTACCATATTTCCCCTTCAGGTTTACAAACTCCTTGTAGCTAGGACCTGAGTATGATTCATCTCTGGATCCCTTGTAGCATCTAGTGCGCAGTCTCAGAAGTAATTACTCCTGAATGAAAGGGCAAGAGAGTTGCTGGGTATGGCCTTTCTGAGAAAACAAGGCCTCTTGGATAGCTTGGCCCTGAAATAGACTTATTCAGGGATTGCTTGAACAACCAAAGGAACTGGTTATACAAACTATTCTGGGAAGCTCAGAATGAACGCAGTTCTCTCTGGGCCTTTAATATAAGGACTACAATCAGGAATCCACTTGACTCACTGAAGTGAATTTAAGCTAAAAGAGCATGCATGATAGGATGAAAACACACACACACAGACACACACACACACACACACACACACACACACACACACACACACACACTCCTGAAAGTTGCAAGGCAGACTGGAAACATGGATGTGTACCATTTCCAAGTGTAAACCTTTTGAAAGTCAGCACCTTCTCAGAAAGGAGACCAGGGTAGACTGGCAGAGTTTGAAAAATTAACGACAATTGGTAAGTGGGAGGACAAGGAGGGCAAATACCTCTGGTTTGGCCATCCATTAGCAGGAAGATAAGGAGAAAAATCATGGAGGCAATGAGGTGATTCAATCAGATCACTCAAGGGTGGCCAATCTAGCTGTCACTCTAATATCCAGTTACTCTTTATCATTCTTGAAGAAAGAAAAAGAGACCTAAGCAGTTTCCAAAACATCCCAGAAG